GTTTCAAACAAAAATTGCATGGTATCTAGGGGGACAAACAGTGCTCTAATCTGCTTTTTATTACCTTACGTTTCTATTCAAATATTAGGGTCACGTTCAGTTTTTTAAATGGAATGTTTGGAAGTGACGTGGTGTAAATAATTACTCGCGAAGTTGCTTAACAAAAATATATCTATTCAACCGATAATACTTAAACTAAATTTAGAATGTATAGGCGACACGATGCGCGTAGAAAGAAAGTCTACGACGAAAAACCTCGTGCCTTTTTCGGGGCTCCCTTAAGTAGCCCCATTTTCCCTGGGAAAGTCCCCAGGAAGTGGGGACGCAATACTCTTGTCCTCGAGGACGAAGAATCGCCTCGAGGGCCAAGAGTCGCCAGGCCACAAATGTCTATTTTTTTTTTCGAATTCGGATAAATCGTCAAATTTAGCGTAAAATAGTATTCTACAAAGTGGGACTTAAAACGAATAATTACTGAGATATCTTCAAATTAATAATCTTCTATTAGGAAATACGCCCAGTCAGCGTGATTCTTAGCACGACTTTGTTTTGTAATTATTCATTTTAAGTCCCACTTTGTAATAATACTTTTTTACGCAAAATTTGACGATTTATGCGAATTCGAAAGAAAATATTAGACATTCCATTTAAAAAACTGAATGTGACCCTAATATCTGAATTAAAAAGTAAGGTAATAAAAAACAAATTATAGCACTGTATGTCCCCCTAGATACCATGCAACTTTTGTTTGAAACATTTTATCGTGCAACGAATAACTTACCAGTTTTTTGAAGTCGTCATGTTAGAAGACTCATCCTGTATGCGTTCACAAAACTGATAATTTTAGGCAATAAAAATAGTCAGAGGTGGTCATGAATTCACGTACGTATATTTGGCGAGAATGAAATTTTGATATCATTTAGTTTGACAAAAATAAAACTGAAGTAGTGACCTGATTATGTGTTACACAAATAATCAGCACTTGGACATGGTGTATAGATTAATGCTCACATTTGTCTCAACTTGATGTGCCAAATAAGATCAATTTCGACTATTTTTTAAGTATTTTCTCTGGCGTACAGAAATAAGCTTCTCGTTATTTACAATGCTGTAACTTATTTTTTTCCTTTTGCCGTAATAAAAAGGAAAGTGAAAGAGAATAATTCGAGAAAAGTGCACTTATTGGACGATTAGCTGTGCACATGCAAGTCACTGGCATTTATTTATTTATTTATTTACCGGTTTATAACTGTTGGATTATTACTAATAATAATGCGTCAGCCAGTGAGCAAAAATGAATTGTGTTATATATATATGAGAAACACTGCTAGTGAAAGAGACCGTAATAGACTGATGTATTCTTCGTCTCCTTTTCTTAAATGCCCAACAGAATTTCAGTTCTGCCCCTGCGTTTTTGTTTCCTTTTACTTCGACTACGAAATTCGAAGAGAAAAGACGTCCTTCCATGCCATACAAATAAAAACACATTTAAGAAAATATACAGTGAACGCTATTATTAAACCCATTTTCCAATAATAACCGTAACATACGTTAAGTCTGAAAAAGTGAACCGATTCACAAAATTTATTCGCGTTCGTAATTATACCATTAATGCAATTAAATCGACCATAAGTAAACTGCGGATTTTTAAGTGTAATTTAAAAAATTGAAGCTAAATAGGCAATTTTTTTATTCACTAAATATTATAATAAATACTATATTTTTGCTTATTACGTGCACTTTTGTGTCTTCGAATTTTCCATAAATGCATCAAAATTCGCAGTCTAGCCATAAGTAGTGCACTATGCCTCTCGAGACACTAGAATATGATTTTTTCTTTTTTTTTTATAGATTATTTTTGCCAACTGTAAATTCATTAATTCACCGACTTATTAACATTAGTTTTTCAACAAAAAATTTTCAAAAATTCTCTAATGTAGAGGAATATAATATTTAACCTAAACTGTGACAGAATTTCCAGGCACATGACGATGTCATTAAGTACTTTATGTGCTAACAATAAGCCAAGCACGAATGTTTACCCTTTAACTAGGAACGACGAGTTAACTCGTCGTCGAAAAATGCTTCTCCAGCTCGCATTAACTCCTCAATTCGGAACTTTGAAAACGACACACGTAAATTTAAACCTGATACCTCGTTTATTTCTTTAAGATATTAAAAAAAAAGAAAACGTCATAATGCATTCATTACTGCACACGCAGAAAACATTTTTGGCAATTTAGGCTCCCCATTTTTGGCAATTTAAGAGATAAAGTGATTAACCGACCACTTTCCTCTATAAAGCACGTACCATTTTGTTTACCCGATAAATATTCATCTATCACTTCACACATTCTCCCCTCGGAAAAAATGTATTTTCGCAGAAAATATCGATACACAGATCCCGGTGTGAGTTTCATCAATCTGCACCG